CGGACTTTACCCCGGTGTGCCGGGTGTCTGGCCTGCCCTTGCAGAGTTCCTTGCTCTCTGAGAAATAGGATTAACATACAGGAAATTGCAGAGACCCATGTGAGCCAGGTGGTGAGTGCCACAGGGATTCAGAGGGACGAGTGATGGATGAGGTTCGTGGTCACAGGGAAACGCACAGAGGCTCCAAGGATAAAAGGATATACTTGGCGGGGAAAGAATGAGAGTGGCAACAATTAGACACAGGGTGCTCATGGGACACTGGCGAGGTGGTCGCCAGCAGAGGGAGGACAGAGTGGGGACAGATAGGAAAGAAAGGACGGGTGTTTTGGTGTTTAAGCTTTGACCTTATCCAGTCCGGAAGACCCACTGGAGCTTCAGAAAGGTCTCCAACCACGTCTGAGGCTTCAGATGCACTCGAAGGCCAAGTTAAGGAAGCCAAGTGATTTTATTTAGTGTTCAGGTCTGGTCGTTAAATCTACGTTTGTAAAACAAAGTGGCTTTGACCTAGAATTTGGTTGAGGTTGGCCACCCTTTTACATTTATCCCCTGAAATTTCCATATAGCTCTGTCTTTAACAACAGCCACAGCAAGAACAATAATACTGATGATAAGCGCACTCTTACTTCATGTGCCGGGCACTGTTTTAATCTCATTCAGTGTATTAATTCGTTTAATCCTCACGTCAATTTGATGGAGTAAGTGTAGGTACTATTCACGTTTAATAAGTGAGGAGACCAGGGCCCAGACAGTTCCTGCTTTGCACCGACACTACCATCCTAGCCTCTCAGAAGTTACCAACAAGGTAACCAGGTGACCCCAGTGTGTTATAATGGCAAGGCCGAGCTCACAGGTGCTTGGTTTGGTTTTGCTTTTAATTCTTATTACACTTGTTCTTAGGAACCTCGCATCATCTTGGAGGAGGTATTTGCCACTGGTGCCTGGTCAAGCATCGCTTCCTTCCTGGCGTGGTTGGGGATTTGGGGTGGTGAGCTGCAGAGCCGCCGACTTCCTGTACCGGACTTCCCATTCTGCAAACTGGGATCGGCTCCACTTCCGGGTGCTGCTTACCTGGGCACACTCTGCAAGGTAAGGCTTCAAACTACATCTGCTCTTTGACCAGAAGATGTGAAACTTGAATTACCATACTTAACAATTCTCTTCATGTAATTTTATCAGATTTTAAAGAATTTCAGTTTCTCAAATTCATTGTGTGTTGACTATGAACAAAGCATGGTAGCTGCTGTCCGGGATTCAGTGATGAATCAGAAAATGATTCTGGCTTCATTTACCATACTCAGTAGGGAGGGCGGGGGGCAGATAATTGTAAGACAAATAATTGTAACACAAATAATTGTAAGACAAATAATTGTAACACAAAGCCAGGCGAACAGCAGAGAGTCAGAACTAGACTTGATTCTGGTGTCCACTACATATAGGAGTTACAGGCTGTGTTGTTACTTAACTACACTGAGCCTAGTTTGCTAATTTATGCAACAGAAAGAGTAAGAATTTATCTAACAGGATCGTCATGATGATTAAATTAAATATTTTGATAAGTACATTGTAGAAATGCTGAGAGGTGCTATACAAATATTCATTACTGTGATTCAGATATAATCAGTGCTCCACTAGAAATTTTATGAATTAAGGAAGGAGAGAGGGGGCTTTCTAGTGGGAGTGTGTATTAACTTTGGTTGTAGATAATTCACTCTTCCTGTTCGGTCGTGTTCTAGTCGTTTTTCACTTTCTCTTTTGGAATGTAGAGCTTCCGTGGTTGAAAATCACCCTCATGTAGAGAACTAATGGAAAGGCCGAGGAAGGAAAGGCATGGGGCTGGGGCGAAAAGAATGAATGCCGCCGTTTGTGAATGATTGGTAGAGTGTACGTTCAGTTACGGAAATATACACCCGTGCTCACCCACTGTGTGTTCACATCAGCTATTAATCTGGGAATGTTCTAAATAAAGCTTTGAAGTATACCCTCTCTTTGGTGGGAACAGTGAGCCACAAATATTATCTATCCCTAATTATCCTCTTCCTTTAATTATGTCTGATCTTCCAATATAGGATCGGGCATCCACCCACATCTGGATCTCTTCTTATAATCGTTCATATTCATTCATTTTTTTTTTTTCATTCAATACATAGTTGAGAATTTGCTATGTGTCAGGCACTGTACCGGGCACTGAGGCTTCAAACGTGGATAAGACACAGCCCCTAAGCTTACAGCATTTATAGCCTCATGGGAGATGCAAATGGGCAATTTCAAAACGATGCGTTATGTTAGGTGCACTCACAGGGAAAGCAACGGTGCTCTGGAGCCTGGCTGTAAAAAGAGTGCCTGACACAGCCTGGGGACAAGGAAGGAAAGCTCAGAGAAGGTGGCGGGTGCAGGTAAACTGGGTATCGGGGAGCCTGTTCACACAGACACCTGCCTCTCTGAATGGTCTTGCAGGCTTTGCACCTTTTGGGCTATTCAATGCCAACTGATGTCTTGGCCCATTTTGAAGGAGCAGTTTCAGAAATGGAACACAGTAGCTTCGCATTTGTCAGTGAGTGGGACAGGATCGACTTAGCTGAAATTTCTTGTGAGGCATTCAGGCCTGGCAGAAGCTTCGCCGTCATAAAGCCTAATGTCTGTCAGTCCTGTAGACGTGCATTTCACTTATTCCTCACAACTACCTCATGGATAGATCTTATTACTTACTCTCTCTCAGTAGGCGGGGGAGCTGCCCACAGAATGGCAGTGTCCACGTCCTCAGGGTAAAAACATGTTAAGTCAGATAATCAGAGGAAATTAGGAAACTAATTTGCAACCAAAAGTTGAGTTTTTGTTTTAAGTTCTGAAATAGGCCCAGTTCTTTGCTTTATTCATATATCCAGATTTCTACTAGCACGTAATAAAACAAAAAGGATCCTAAGTCTTATTTCAGGGAGGATATGGTTAGTATAATAACATGAAAAGTTAGTACAAACATAAAACGTAAAATGGAATATTTGTATGTTTAAAGGTCGATCATTCAGGTTAATGAGACTGGTTAGAATTTGGAACTGTTTAAAATGACCAAAAGACATTCTTTCTGAACCAATTCCGAACCAATTCTATGGTGGCTCGACATTTTTGGAACTTTCAAAAAGTTCAGTTCGGTAAACCGTATCGAGCACCTGCTCTGTGCTGGACAGATGCTGAGGATGCGAACACGAAAAAGCTTCTGTTCCCGACGCCATTGCAGTCGCTCTTACTCGAAGCAGGAGCATCCTTTAAGGAAGCCTGGGGGGCGGGGGGAGCAAAGGAATAGCTCTGCCGGGCGTGGGGCTAACGGGAAAGCGACAGTTGAGGGGGACCTTGAAAATTTCACGAGACTTCACTGGACTAGAAGAGGGAGCAGGATGCTCTTAGGACGGGAAGGGTGGGAGAACCCGCAGAGGCGTGCGGAAACGTGGTGTGTCTGGGCTACACGAGGCTGGAAAGCGGGGTCTGGAACCAAACCGTGAAGGGCCTTCAACAGCCATGGTGCAGCGACCTCATCCTATGCAGCGGTGGGAGGAGGGCGGGGAATCGGGTCATGAAATGGGCTGTCGGTTCCTGAAATGGCTGCTACAGAACTTTCTTCTGACGAGTGCGTCGAAAAGTGTAACAGATTTTAGAGTCATGGGGCCCGGGTTTGAATCCCACATCTGTCCATTACAAGTCATGTGACCTTGACCAGTTTATGTAACCTCAACTGTAAAAGGAGGCTAATATGTATATCGGTCTTACAAGGTTGCTATGGGAACAGAAGAAGGCAGTATCAGTGAAAAACAGTTTCTGTCCTGTAAAACACCGTGTAAATGTTAATTACTAATATTGTTATTTGTTGCCCAGAAGAGGATGTGTTATAGAGAATTCTTGGTTTTCAGCAGTGTAAACACCTCTGGTTTCCTTTTCACGTGTCATGAAACCCATTATTAGATATGACGCTTCTAAATTTGCCATACAGCCTAGCCTATCCGAGAGCAAAGGGGAACCAGCATTTCTGAGTACCATGCCAAACACTTGGCAAATACCGTCTCATTTAATCTTCACCCAAACACTCTGAGGTCGTTATTGTCCCTGTTCTACAAATGAGAGTCGTTTAACTCGTCTGCATCAGTTAAGAAGATCCGGTCGAGTTAGTCAGCTTCGTCAGGAATACTTAGACAAGGAGGCACTGGCGAGGGCGGGCTGGGTTTGGAGGGAGTCGGCATGTGGACGGGGCATTGGGGGCTGGAGGGCAGGAAGCAGAGAAGGA